AAATGAATTTAGTATAGACTAAGTTACAGATTTTATAAAGTCTACAATTATGTCGTAAGCTTTTATATGCACTCACTACTCAAACTATTGTATCAATCAATCCTAATGCTTTGGGGGCTCGGGATGTGGCTCAAGTGGTTGCGTGCTTGCCTGGCATGCATGCGGCCTGGGTTCGATCCTCAGCACCACATACAAAACAAAGATGTTGTGTCTCCCAATAACTAAAAAATAAATATTAAAAATTCTCTCTCTTAAAAAAAAATCCTAATGCTTTGGACTTTTTGTAATGCAAGATGATAAATTATCTTACTGTTTAAATCACTTAAGAGTTGGAGTTTCTATATGTACAGAACATAATGGTCAAAAAAGGACAAAGAGGTGACTCTGAGCAGAAACTTGAAGGATTAACAGGAGTTTGTCAAGCACAAAAGAGAAATTGGGGAAGACAAGAGATGAAGGAGAGCAGGCCATTCCTGGTGGGGGAAGTGCATGATGCACTAATGTGAAAACATGTAATGTACATAGTAATAATTATTAGGGTACACAGGTCAAAAATTCAGCTTTCTCAGCAGTGAGCCCTGAGATTCTGATCCACATTTTCAGACCACACATTAAGACACACTGATGGATATAAACAGAGGACCCTGAATGGTGAGGAAAGTGGTGAGAGCTTAGGCCGAACAGATGGTGCAGGCTGAGCAGGATCTTATCATGCGAGGATTCAAACTGGAAACCTCAGGAGAGCAGGGCCAATCTACTTCTACACAGGATTATATCCTTAGTGCTCACCATGGTGCTGGGCACATCACAGATGTTCAATACCTATTCATTAACAACAAATACTTAAGAGATGAAGATTTGGGGGCTGAGGTTGTGGCTCGGTGGTAGAGCACTAGCTTCAAATGTGTAAGGCACTGAGCGCGATTCTTAGCACCACATACAAACAAATGAATAAAATAAAGGCCCATCAACAACTAAAAGAGAGAGAGAGAGAGAGAGAGAGAGAGAGAGAGAGAGAGATATGAAGATTTTGTTCTACAACCAGTATATTTGTAAACAGTAAGAGGATTTTGAGATTCCTCTGATGACAACAAATACTATACAGAAGGAGAAAAGGGAGTCTGAGGCACTAGTTATAAGGGATCTTAACATTACAGGTGAGAAAATATTGGGGAAGAAAAAACAGATGGGAATGATGAAGAAAATAAGGATGTCAGAATTGAATGGAGTTGTCTGAGCTGCGCTCTGGGGAATGGTGGAACAGCAGAAGGATTGAATCACAGATACAATGTGAGAACATGGGAACTGCTGAAAAAGTCCAGGGAATATGCAGAGTGAGAAGAAGAAGCCGGGCACCCAGGAAAATCCTAACTTTTTCTTAACTCATTTGCCATCTGTTCTTTTAAAAAATTAAATGTAAGTGAGCTAGTTTTTAAAAAATTTATAAGGGCTGGGGATTTAGCTCAGTTGGTAGAGTGCTTGCCTTGCATGCACAAGGCCCTGGGTTCAATCCCCAGCAAAACAAACACACACACACACACACACACACACACACACACACACACACACACACACTAATATTGGAGGGCTGTGGTTGTATCTCAGTTGTAGAGCACCTGCATAGCATATTTGAGGCACTGGGTTCGATCCTCAGCACCACATAAAAATAAATAAAAATAAAGGTACTCTGTCCATATACAACTAAAAAATATATTTATAAAAAATAATCATGGAAATAAAGTGAAACAGTACAAAGAAGTAGAGTTGCCTATTCTAATTCTCCAGGTCTCACTTCTCAGAGGCAACCACTGCTACATATATAATTTAAAAGTTTGTATCAGATTTAAAAGACTATGACCATATGAGATACACACTGTTATCAACATGCCTTTTTAATCAGATTACTTTAGACTTTTTTCTAAATTCCCGTACTGAGGAGTATTTGAGTTGCTTCCAGTTTGGCTCATTGTGGTTTTATTTTACCTCCTTTTTAAAGCTGAAATAGTTTCTCATTGATACTAGGCTTCAAATGATGTAACCTAAAATTTTTTAGTACTTTTGTTTGAAGTGAACATGAAGGATTTTAATTAATCTAACACAGAAACGATCCATTGACTTTTTTTTTTTCCCAATATTTATCTCTACCCCTCCTATCTTCTTTCAAATTGGTCCTGGGAAGGTAGGTGAAAAGGTATTTAAAAGAATTTTTTTGCTGGGTATGGTAGCACACACCTATGATCCCAACTACTCCAGAGGCTGAGGCAATGAGGAATTCAAATCCAAGGCTAGCCTAGACAATTTAGTGAGATCCTATCTCAGAATAAAAATGGATTGGGGGTGTAGCTTTATGGTAGAACACTTCTGGGTTCAATCCCAGTATCACACACACACACAAATCTTTAAAAAAAGAAGTATTTACCTATGATACTTTAGTTTTTTCTTTTAACAAGGAAGAGAGGGTAAGTATTTCAAATACATATTACAAAATATTAATATTTGTTAATTTTAGATGGCAGGTACTATTACACAGCCTGTGTATTGTTTTAATCTTTGTGTGTGTGTTTTTTTTTTTTTCCTTTCCTTTTGCAGTGCCAGGGATCAAATCCAGTATTGCTTTGCACATACTAGGCAAATGCTCTACCACTGAGCTAATCTTCAGTCTTCAGGATTTTTTAAAAGTCAAAGACCAGGGGCAGTGGCACATGCACGTATTTCCAGCAACTCAGGAGGCTGAGACAGAAGGATTACAAGTCTGAGGTCAGCTTCAGCAAGGTAGTGAAACTCTGTCTCAAAATTTTTTAAAAATAATAATAACAAAAAGGGGATATAAGTCAGTGGTAAAGTGCTCTTAGATTCACTCCTCAGTACCAAAAAAAGAATCTAATAGGTGACTTATCTCCCACAAAATACAAATGGTCAATAACATGAGAAGATAATCTCACTTAATTTTTAAATGCATATTAAAATATGATTCCATCTTGATTAACAAAGATTCAGAATTTGGAAATAGTATAGATAAGAACGGAGAAGGTAGGGCTAAGTGAGGTGGCACACGCCTGTAATCCCAGCTGCTGGGGAGGCAGAGGCAGGAGGATCCCGAGTTCAAAGCCAGCCCCAGCAAAGATGACGGTGTTAAGCAACTCAGTGAGACCCTGTCTCTAAATAGAATAAAAAATAAGACTGGGGATATGGCTCAGTGGTCGAGTGCCACTGAGTTCCATCCCCTGTTCAAAAAAAAAAAAAAAAATCCACAATGAGGAGTTGGGGATGTAGTTTACTGGTAGAGAACTTGTCTAGCATGCTTGAAGCTCTGGGTTCAATCCCTAGCACCCCCGCCACACACACACACATACACACACACATCATGAGGTACTATTTTAAATTAACTAGAATATCTAAAATATAAAAAACAGACAATATCAAGTTTTGACAAGGATATGGAGAAACTGGAACCTTTGTATACTGCTGGGAACATGAAATGGTGTAGCTACTCTGGGAAAAAAGAATTCTGTAGTCCTTTTCATATAAACCAGCAATGCCATTTCTAGGTACAGACCCAAGAGAAATAAAAACAGATTTGTACAAAAACTTGTATGTCAATAATCATTAGCAAGAATAAGAAAGTAAAACAACAAACAACCCCAAATATCCATCAACTGATGAATGGATAAGCAAAGTATATTCACACAATGGAATATTATTTGGTAATAAAAAGGAGTGGATTACAACCAGAGTAATGAAAAATTGTGCTCCATATGTGTACTATGCTTGAAATGCATTCAGGCTGGAGTTGTGGCTCAGCAGCC